GTGGTGACTTGGGTTAGTGTAGTATATAAGAATTATTACAATGTGATATCATATTGACGGCTGCTTAAATCTGTGTTGCGGTCGTGATGCACCTATCGGTCAGGACATGGATTAGACGTCCTTCTAACCAGCGTTGTTCTTACCCCGCAATCCCGTTTTAGCTGCAGGAAGTTCCCCACTCCATACAACATCGAGCGCGAGGACATGTAGGACGCGACTGTCGAGATCAGACACCTGAATTTTTACAAAGACTATATAAAGCATGTAATTTGAAAATTTGCCACCTGTAACGGGTCTTCGTAAGAAAGCGCTCCGTCATCCCCGCTCAACTTCCTGTCTATACTTCAGCAGGAGCCCGGTTCGAGTTCTGTGGTGTCCTTTAATCCACTCACTTGGGTAACCAGTGATGCTGGAGGGACCTAAGCAATGGATACAACTTGATGAGGGAAGCAATTCCGCAATCGGGTATCCACCATGGAACGGCGGCGCCGGATTACTCCTATTGGGGTTGGAAGTCGATCGGCGGGCTGGTGTGTTGACTTACATTTTGCATCTTTTTGCTTCCTAACTGACCTTTTTTGCCCACCTTGCGCCTCACCAGCTGCTACCACCACTGCTGCCAACCACCTAAGCTTCCGCGACTTTGCTTGTTCTGTTCACTCTTTTGAATATCTCTAGTCCTGATATAAATGCACGATTGATTTTGTCATATTTAGAGCTGTCAAAATAGTATTCAAGTATGGCATTGATATAGATAGGAAGGAGGAGTATGCAACGCCATCAGAGCAATATGGGACCAATGCAATAACGCTTCATATCAACAAAAACACAAACACCCTTCGCCATGCAAAAGAAAGACAAGAGTATCATACAGCAACGCCCCTCCTCTTCCAGCCACCAGGGCCTCTCCAAGCCCACAAGAAGAGGCCTATGGCAATCCATACGCTTATGGTCATGGCCCAGAAGGTGGACGCATAGCAAGCCTTTCCATGACAAAGGACATCCTCAGGGTCCTTCTGAACGCCGGCTTCGCCGTTCTCTGCAGCTCTCTGATATACAGTGGCATAGACAGCACCCCAGAGGGTGGCACCTGCAGCAGGTGTCATGGCCAGAATGCCCCAGTTTGTACCAAAGTTCTCGACGCCCCATACTACAGAGACGACAATGGGTGTCAGCGAGAAGACGGCTCCGTAACCGGCACCGATAAATGCAGACACAACAGCAAAGCGAGAGGGGTGGTTCTGCACCCATCCACTCGCTAGGAGAAGTTGACCAAGGGAGAGTATGAAAGCGAATGCCAAGAGGAAGTTTATGCGCGAGATAGTAAACCTCTTGCGTGGCTGTTGTAGAGGTGGGAGAGACGACATGGAATTTGCAACGGAATCTGGTCCGACGCGGTGCTGGTTCGAAGGAGCTACCGGAGCGAGGACATCAGAGAGTGTGCCGGTGATCAAGCGAGCGAGTGTGGAGGTGATGGCAACGATAGAAACATGGGTTGCTGGCGAGGTGTTGGTGGAAACGTGCGCGGGTGTGAGAGTCTCGATAATGGTGCCTAGATTGTTGATGAAGGCTTCGCCGGGTCCAGTGACGAGGAAGAAGCCTCCTGCGAGCCACCACATGGTGGGGTCCATGACATAGCGACGAGTCTCCTCGTTCAGCAGCCATGTCTTCTTCCGTGCCTCTTCTTCTGCTTTGGCCTTGAGACGCTCAGCCTCGGACTGCAGGAAGTCAAAGGTCGAGTCGGACAGGTCCTGAGTCTCCATGGTTCCGTAGCCGTGATGGGTCGCAGCCTGGGTGAAGAACTCGTCACGCTGCAGCAGACCAGATCTCTCGAGCTCGTCTACTGCATCGTCGATCATCTCCTCTTCGTCCATGATGCGCAGGGCAAAAAAGCCGATGGTGCCCACGCAGAGCAGAAGAATGCCGAGGAAGAGGAAGAAGCGGAACACGTCAACGTCCCCCTTGGTACCATCCGGGTTCCTGACGTATAGCAGTCGGCTTCCAACCTGGCTTTGCCACATGCCGCTCAGTCCAAAGGCTGCGATGGGCACTGCCAAAGCCACGCCCTTTGCACTCCCTCGCCCGAAGTTCTTGGCACATGTTGTTACTGCAGCCAGGTACATGCAGCTTGTGCCCATGCCGACGAAGGCGAAGGCTAGGACCATGACGCCATGGGGCCAACCATGACCGCCGGCGGAGGGCGGAGGACCGCTCTTAAAGGCGAAGGCAGCCAACAGATATCCCGAGCCGAAGAGCAGACCTGCAAGAGCGGCGGGCACACCAGGGCCCATGCGATCGCAGAGGTATCCGAAGATGGGGACGAGGAGGTAGAGGCCGAGCTCGGCGCCGATGGAAACTATGTTGACCTGGACTTGGGTGTAGTGCAGCTTGGACTGGAACAAATGACCGTACAGGGAGAAGGCGGTGATGCTACCAGCGCATAGGCAGATGACGATGGCCCACGCGAAGCTCAGCCATCGTAGCACGGCGCGCTGCATCTTGACGCGGTCCTGCTCGTAGATGCCTTCGGCGACCTGCTCAAAGAAGCTGCCGGCGTAACTCGTGTCCTGGCTGCGTCGCTGCGAGTCGGTGTCGCTGTCGGGGGCTAGGAGGGGGCGACGGGGCGAGTTTGGTGGTGGGTAGTCGAGCTTGTCGATGGTGGTGATGCCATTGCCATTGCCGCTGTTCCGCTTAGAGGACGGGGGTGACATTGGCGGCAGCGGTCGGTACGTGTGACGAAGGGACGGGTGGCTGGATTAAACTCTCATAACGTGCACTTGGGAATATATATCAGAAAGAAGGCAAACTACAGGCGACACCGACGTATTGATTCCCCAGATAATGCGTCCCGAGGACCAGCGGTCAGCGGACGGCACTTGGACTGCAGGTTGGTGTTGTCGCGCGAAGTAGCTTGCGCCAGGGCTGCAAGGGAGTGACGCTGCAGCCGAATCGCCGGGGCCGCTAGTTCGCCCGTCGAAACAAATGCGCAAGAAACTTGAGAGCAGCAAACACCTCGTCGCCGTCCCGTTAGCCGCACCACTACCCAACCACCATGGCGCCTCAGCAGGCCCTCGTCAACCTCTCGCCGGCTGAGCTGTCGTTCCTGCGCTCCACCCTCTCCCAGACGCCGCCCATCCGCCTCGATGTCACCAAAGGGCCCCGCGACTTTCGCTCCATGCGCGCCGAGTATGACGTACTGCCCACCGCAAACGGGAGTGCGCGCATCGCCCTCGAGGATGGCACCGAGGCCCTCGTCGGCGTCAAGGCCGAGGTGGAGAGGTCACGCCAGCGCCCGACCCTGGGAGAGCCAGAGGACGTAGACATGGGCGACAGCCAAGAGACGGACGACACCAAGGGCAAGGGCCAGAACGCGTGGGTCGAGATGAGCGTCGAGGTCCCAGGCTTCCGTGAAGACGACGCGCTGCCTGTGTTTCTGTCTTCCATGCTCACCGAGAGCTTGCTTGCCAGTGGAGAGCTAAAGGACCGACTGTACATCAACACACGCTTCCACTGGAAGCTCTACGTCGACATCCTGCTGCTGTCACCCCCACTCTCCTACCCGCTCGCCCTGCTGTCCATGACCACCCATCTCGCCCTGCTCACCACGCTCCTACCAGCTCTCAAGTCGGAAAAGGACGAAGACCCACTGTTCAACGACGACTGGGATGCCGCCGTGTCTCTATACCCCAAGCAGGCTGGAACAAACAAGACTGCTACCCAGCTAGGGAAGCCTCCAGTCATCATTATTGCCATGGCAGTAGGATCAAACATCATCTTTGACCCGGCCAAGGAGGAACTCGCAGTAGCAGACGCAGTCCTTGCCATCGCATGCACAAACTCAACAACATCATCCACAGGCGCGCGCATCGTCTCGATACGCACCATCGACCCCCCGTCCCATCTTACTCCACCCGGCGTGCCCAACTCGATGAACTCAGCCACCGGCGGTACAGCTCCCACCTCCAGTGCCGACGCGCTCACTCAACGCGAACTGCTGGCGACCTCGGGCGTTTGGACACCACCCCGAGGCGGCATGAAGAGAGGACTAATATCGCAAGTCACAAAGATGGTGGTGGAAAACGGAGGAGTTGCTGAAGAAGTTATCGGCGCATTGGCTGCGATTGAGGTCGGCTGAAGAGAGCGTGATGCATGGGTAACATGCATTGACCTTCAATCACGGACTCGGTGGGCACTTTTAGAGACTTCGCGCCAAACCAGGCTTATCACGTCACGAGTAAGCCAAGAGGGATCCTAGAGGATCTTCGGGAGATTTGGCACAATAGTCGTCTCAAGACGAGCGTGCTTTGCGCCGCTCCATACGTACTGCAGTGCTCTGTTGTCGCGTTGAGAGATAATTTTTCAAGAATAAGAATATTGGTTTGTAAAGCCATGTAACCGTAGATCAATACAACGCAACATACCATCTTGAAACAATCGCAATCTGTGGGCATGTGGTCTTACACACGGGAAGACGGCGCCATGATGTATGTTCAATGGTCAACATCGGCCAGAATAGTGGAACTGTACCCTTGTAGCGTATCATGAGAACAGACCGTCAACCTCACCTTCCCTGATACGCATCGCAAGCCATCAAGCAAACAATGCCGATCCTCCCATGTGGCATATGTCTTAGTTGCTTTTTGCCGGCCTCCCCATGTGGTTCCCGTGCCATGTAAGCCACAACAGGCTAGTGGAAATGACCTGTCAGCTGCGGTTCCACGTCGTTACTTCCCAGTTTCTCGATCGATGCTATTCACACCGCTTCCTATACAATCAAAGAGAGTTTCTCACCAGTAAAGTATCGCTAGGACACAAGAGATACAAACCTGCACTGGAGACTACGTTACACATCATCACCCCGCATCGTCATCGCGGCTGAGATCTAATTATATCTCGTATCAAAGCGCTCAGGGCAGCACTGGAGGGAAGCTACATCAACCCCCCAAGCAGAAGCTGAACTCCAAGTCACAACAACAGCTACAGCCAAACAGTCAGGAACCATGATGGATCTTCAGCATCAATCCCATTTCTCTGCCTTTACGCGCTTCTCCGATATGCTCAAGGACACGACTAATCGGCGCAAACAAAGCGCATCCGGCCACTCCATCCGCAATCCTTCCATCACAGCTCTGCCCGTAGACGCAGACGCCTCATCAATGCGCTCCTGGGACTCTGAGATGTCGCGAGACAGTCGCCGCAGCAGCATAGGCAACTACGCAGACCGTGTGCGCCAAATGTTCGACAGAACATCCACCACACACCACGGAAACGGACAAAGAAAGGGTATGACAGACCTCCCCGCCGAAGTACTCCAGACCATATTCATCCACCTCGATTTCTGGGATTTGCTTCGTGCCAAGCGCGTATGCAACGTGTGGCGGCAACTCATCCCTGGTGACTCTCCTTTACTAGCGGAAATGCTCTACTTGAAGCCGTCCCGTGGGTTACAAATATATAATATGGTCCCTACTACTTTTGACCTTGAGCTCGAGATTACGCCGCAAAGCATAGAGGATGGATTCCAGCCTTCTGGAACGCGTTTTTCCGTCGGCGTACGCAATGAGATCAGCCTAATGAGGAGATGCTTGGGCCTTATACGGACCAGTCAGGAGATTGTTTTCCATCCCGTGGTTATGGATTTTAATGTTTGGATTAAGAACGAGAAGGTCATGGGGGCGAAGGAGGGGTCGTGGAGGGACATGTTGGTTTCTATGCCGCCATTGAGAGAACTTACATTGAGGCATGGTCGAAAGAGAAATGTGGTCAAGGTATTGACTGCGGGAGAAGATGAGGATGGAGTTCGGTTGGGTGCGCTATTTGATGTCATGGACGAGTGGATGCGGAGGATGATATAAGTCAACGAGGTGTCCCAGGAGTGTAGGTGCTGGTCACCTTACTCTGCGATGGTAAAAAGGAGAAGATATATTCATGCATATACGGAGCTTACATGTTCGATGAGATTCGCGGTAGCAAAAAGCAAAAGCTTCCTACACAAAGGCCTTCTTTGCGATAACACGTCAATGGTGCAGACAACGGTAGAAGCGCGGCTAACAAGAGTATAAGCAACGAGCGAGTGTGCGAATATCGGCAAGTTATGTGAAGTGATTACATGTTGAGTGTTGTTAGCAGTCTTTGGCCACTCACTTTCCCCTCCTTTAACAAATTCCATGCTTCTTGCGGAGACTTTCAGCATTCTTGGTGACAATGCGGCCGCCCTGCTCGGAACGGCTGGCCTCTGCGCCGAATTTATGATCATGCCAGAAAACGAAACTGCACACCTGGATTAGCAATTGTGTTCTGTAACGAGACCACTCTGCTGGAAACAGATACTAGAATCCAATAATGATGGAATACCTTGAGGAAACGGAAATGTTCCCTGTTGAGTTTCTTATCCTGCTGGATGGACAGTGACCACTCTTGCCTCTCGTCTTGTCAATTCTTAGAGACTTTGTGTAGAAAGGTGAGTGTGAGCACAGGCGGACCAGCTTCCTTGTTTGTCCTCAAGGAGAAGGGCCAAATAATCATTTTCCACGGATGTTACGAGCAAAGATAGTCGGATGCGATGAGTGCCTTCCGAAAATTGTTCGAATGCAATAGGATGCGATGTAATGTAGTCATTACGTGAGAGGAGCGCAAGGTAGTCGACTTAGGGAGGCTCTCGATACATCTGGCATATAAATACGAAAATCTTCCGCGGTTCTTTCACGGTCACACCTACGCTGCCCTTTTAGTCTAGTCTCATAACTATGTTTCAGGCGCCATGATACCTTCGGCAACATGATAACGCTATGGCCGGTTGTCTCTCGTCTGCAACCTCTGGTAGTGGTCAGCACTCCTGGGTTAAGTTATCCGCAATAATATCAAGTAGAACCAGGCAAAAAGATAGAACAACCAACTCCTTAGCCCATAACCACAAGTCAACATCTTCTCTCAACATCTTTGTGTGGATGTAGTCTTGAGATCTCGAATTGTAAGTTCTGCTGTTGCACGAACTCACGCCTCAAGGAATCTTCCTATAACCACCCTTTCTGCTGAAGGTTGTAGTATGAGGATGAAGGAAACACAACGCTCGGATCGTTACCAAGCTGTTATGCTATATCCTTATATCAAGAACATGAGTAAGAATCGATGCTCGAACTCATGTCCCTGCGGTTTTGGTACTGCAGTACGTATCAGAGGCCTCTGAAACTTGTCTTGCTTCGCAGAAGCACTTAGTCTGCAACGTTCTTCAGGAATTCTACCATCAGAACATGCGGGACTTTTGGTTGTTGCTGGGTTTGTGTTGCCTCAGGGTTCTTGTTCTGTGATGGACGAGCGGGAAATAATGAGTATTATATCGAGAGCAATACTTCAGATGTATCTCCTACGGCAAGCAGGGCGTGATTTAGTTTTCATTTCTAAACCAGAGTCTAGGGAACGCGCGGTTGCAGTTGCGGTGTTGTGGGGAGGTGAGGTCGCTGGTCGTGCCTTCCCCAAGGGGAGGAGCGACAGTGCACCACCATCAACAACAACAGAAAGCCTCACCTCACCTCGACTCAAACCCAGGCACAAGAACAGCGCAATCATATGGAAGTATTAAATGTTATATTCCTTCCTCGCTAGCCATATGCGTAAGCAAGGCAGGCGAGGTAATGGGTTCGTCGAACACTCATTCCATGCATAGCTCTCAACGTTAAACTCTTTGTCTAGCCATGAGCCGTAAGCAGTCCCAATCTACACCCGCGACCCTAATATACAAAGCACACGCTTAACCAGAGAATTCCTTAACGTCGCTAGTCTTACCGGGGATAAGAGCAAGCGGCACGATACCTGAGACGTGCATCTCGGGACCGTAGACGTGCATGTTGAGGCCGAGCTCCTGGCCGACACCCTTGATGTTCTTGAGACCCTCCTGGTAGTTAGGACCGGCACGACGGATCCAGATCTGGACGTTGTGCTCGATGAGAAGGGGGGCGACTTCCCTCAGGGCGCGGATGACACCCTTGAATGTTGAGGCAACGTTGGTGAAGTTGGCAATACCTCCACCGATGAAGAGAACCTTGCCATCTGGGTGTTGGGGAGCACGGAGCATGAGGTCGAGGACGGTACGGGCGTAGTGGAAGGTCTGAGTCTCGGTGGGAGCACCAGAGTACTCACCGTAGTTGGCGAGCTCACTAGCGAAGCCAGCAGAGGCGATAGCGTCGGCGTAGACGACGGAAGCACCACCACCAGCGACGAGTGTCCAGACACGGCCGACGGAGTTGAGGATAGTCAGCTTGAGGGAAGCACCAGTCTTAGCGTCCATCTCGGCAATGTACGCCTCCTCCTTGCTCATCTCACGACCGAAAGGAGCGGGGAACTCCATCGGTGGGCCGACATCGATAGTCTGCTTAGCATCCTTTTGGGGAGCAGCTGGTATGCCAAGAGCTGTCGCGCTGCGGGCAATAGCCCACTTGGCACCGCACTCGAACTCAGCAGTTTGGTCAAGCTTGGCAGCAAGATCCAGGAAGTGAACCTCAGCAGAAGTCTTCTCCTCGTTGGGGATGACAACGAGAGGGTTAATCTCAAGGTAGCTATGGTTGCATCAGCACTGGAAAGGTGAAGACGTATCGAGACAACTCACGTGAACTGGCAGTCAACGTAGACGGCGTATAACCTTGAGATGAAGTCAACGAGGACGTTGTGTACACCCTCGGGAACCTTCTTCAAAAGAGTAGCGGCAATCTCCTCGTTTGAGGGGTATTCCTTCAGATCGACAGGAATGAGAAGCTTCTCAGCCTTCTCATCGACATCACCGACATCGACACCACCCTCGTGGGTGAAGAGGATCCAGTCACCCTAAGCGGCAAAGTTAGCGGTGAGATCGGCGAATGATTGGCAAGATCGCGCAGTAGCCGATGGCTAAGTAGAGCCGCAACACCATGGGCCCGGAGATTGACGATGCATAGGTAGCGGCGCAAAGCGCAAAAAAATGCAGCCACATTGGCATGTGAAAGTGGACGTGCGTATCGCAGAAGAGTAGGTGCTCTGCAGAAGTGGGTCGGTCATCGTTCCCTTCGTCCGGCCGGCCTTCAAACAAAACCAGGCAGTGCGCCCGCGAGTTTGAGCCAACTTCCCGCTCCGCCCGCACTTAGTTGCAGCCTGCCGCTCAGAGCACACGAATATGCCTTTTGCACGCTTTCGCATGCGCCAGACGACGCGCTCGCCCGAAACGACATGAAGAAAAGATTACAGAAATAGGTGGAAATGAACATACCTCTCGCACAGAGTTGATGTTGATGTAGTACTCGGTGTCCTGGGGGTGGGGAACGAAGGGCTCGACCAAGAACTGCCTCAGTACACCATCGACAGTCTCGACGCGCTGCTCCTTTCCTGCCCTCGCCTCGATCCATTCCCTCGCCTCAGCCCAGGTCTTGTTCAGCGCGAGCAGACCGCTCTTGCCTCGCCTCTTGATCAGTTGGTCTGGCTTTGCGACGAACTTGGATCCGGGAGTGAGGAGCCATGGGTATGTGGCCTCGGCCTGGTCGAGCACGCCCTTGACGTCCTCATCAGCGGCGAAGTGCAGCGATGCGAGCTTGGAGGGGGGGTTGTGTGTGGCCGACGGGGGAAGAGGAGTGGGCTTGATAACGGGAGCGCGGGTGAGGTGGTAGTTGAGGATGGCCTTGCCGTCGGCCTCGAGGATAGACTTGGCTGACATTGTGGTGTTTGGTCAAACTGTGAAGGATGAGTATTGCAATGTCAAGAAGAGCGGCTCGCGTGGAGGCAATGGGCAGCAGAAAGATTCAAGAAACTCGCAGGATCAATCCCGACGACAGTCTCGGCAATGGTTACGGGGCCTTATGCGATGTCCGGAGACGAAGATGTTCGGAGAAGGTGATGAGGGGGCCGGCACAAGAAGATGCAAAATGGCAGGCCGGGGTGGTGAGACGTACCTGTATTTGTTGAGGCTTGACACACGGTCTGTAAGAGGATTAAGAGGAATTGCTGGCAAGACTTGAGTTGTCAGACGGCTTGGAAAGGAGCTTGAGAAAGCGGTCTGATGTTTTTTCTGCGTGTTGAGCAATGAGGGCGGGCAGCAGATGCAGGGCTAAGGCACTCGGCGCACGACGGGCCTATCACAGCGAGGCCACCCCACCAGGGGTACATGAGCTGCGGATGGCCTACACAACCCACGACGAGCCATCAACGAGCCGAAGAGAGGCGATTCCGACACATATTCCGCGATAGCAGGACCCAAAGTGTGACTATTGCACGCATTGAGGCTGCATCTATTACCATTACCCCCATTCCGAGGTGCGAACTGGCGGTGCAAGACATTCGGGTCCCCGTTCACCGCTCGGGACTTGGGGTTAGCGCCACACGGATCTAGTTCGTGCAGGGGACATCACTCTCCAGCTCAACACCGCCAAAAGTAAGGGCCCAATCTTCGGAAAGAATCGCATTTCCCTCTTCGCAACCTTCTCCTCATCCATCCAAGCATCTCTGCTTTGCCAACGACACGGCATTGCATCCATAAGGTGAGTAGTCCCCGAGCCCCGACTGGGACGACGTTGTTGAGCTCCATCCCACCTTGCCCGCTCTCGCGTGCCTGCCCCAACAGCTCCGAAGCATTTTTTCCACGCAGACCGAACCCTCACGTCAGCCAACCATATATCCCCCGACCGACATCAACGTCGGCCAATTTGGACTTCAGACTGACATTTCTGCCCTTCCAGAATAAATTGAAGCCTCAGATCGACAACTGACGCACACACGGCCACCATGCCTTCCGCAGACGTCCCCTCGCAGGCGGCTACCTCGACCGGCGAGGGCCTCTCAGCAAACGACAACATCCGTCGTTTCGCTGCCCCCAGCCGGCCAATGTCACCACCGGCCGCCCACACACTCTTCCACCCCAAGACACGATGCTTCGTCTAGTAAGAGACCCCCCCGCGACTACAATACAAGGAGAGCAGGGCTCTAACAAATGTGAACAGCGGACTGCAGCCCCGTGCCGTTCAGGGTATGCTTGACTTCGACTTCATTTGCAAGCGCAAGCAGCCTTCCGTCGCCGGTATCATCTACACATTCGGCGGTCAATTCGTCAGCAAAATGTTTGTGCCCGGCAAATGCTCTAGCCCCTGAGAACGCTCGACTGACAATACGCAGGTACTGGGGAACCAGCGAAACTCTGCTGCCCGTCTACCAGAATGTAGAGAAGGCCGTCGGCAAGCACAACGATGTTGACACTGTTGTCAACTTCGCCTCGTCGCGCTCAGTCTATCAGTCCACCATGGAGCTCATGGAGTTCCCTCAAATCAAGTGCATTGCCATCATCGCTGAGGGTGTACCTGAGCGCCGTGCCCGTGAGATCCTCCACGTTGCCCAGAAGAAGGGCATCACCATCATCGGTCCCGCTACCGTCGGAGGTATCAGGCCCGGTGCGTTCAAGATCGGTAACACTGGTGGTATGATGGACAACATTGTTGCTTCCAAGCTCTACCGCCCCGGTTCCGTCTCCTACGTCTCCAAGTCCGGTGGTATGTCTAACGAGCTGAACAACATCATCGCAAACACTACCGATGGTGTGCTCGAGGGTGTCGCTATTGGTGGTGACAGGTACCCCGGTACCACTTTCATCGACCACGTTCTCCGATACCAGGCCGACCCCGACTGCAAGATCATTGTGCTGCTCGGTGAGGTTGGTGGTGTCGAGGAATACCGCGTCATTGAGGCTGTCAAGTCTGGCCAGGTTACCAAGCCCATTGTTGCCTGGGCCATCGGTACCGTTGCTGGTATGCTCAAGACCGAGGTTCAATTCGGTCACGCTGGTTCTTTCGCCAACTCTCAGCTTGAGACTGCGGCGACCAAGAACAAGACCATGAGGGAATCTGGCATCTACGTGCCAGAGACCTTCGAGGAGATGCCCGGCACTCTTGCCCAGGTCTACCAGAAGCTCGTCAAGGACGGCACCATCAAGCCCAAGCCTGAGCCCGTTGTGCCCAAGATCCCCATTGACTACTCATGGGCGCAGGAGCTTGGTCTCATCCGAAAGCCTGCTGCTTTCATTTCCACCATCTCTGACGACCGTGGCCAAGAGCTTCTGTACGCCGGTATGCCCATCTCCGATGTCTTCCGGGAGGAGATTGGCATCGGTGGTGTCATGTCACTGCTGTGGTTCCGTCGCCGCCTGCCCAACTACGCTAGCCGTTTCCTTGAGATGGTCCTTATGTTGACTGCCGATCACGGTCCAGCTGTGTCTGGTGCCATGAACACCATTATCACCACCCGTGCTGGTAAGGATCTTATCAGTGCGTTGGTCTCTGGTCTTTTGACCATTGGTTCGCGTTTCGGTGGTGCGCTCGACGGTGCCGCTGAGGAGTTCAGCAAGGCCTTCGACAAGGGTCTCAGCCCTCGTGACTTCGTTGACACCATGAGGAAGGAGAACAAGCTCAGTAAGTTGCCTGAGGAAAAAGTTTCATTTGCGCAGCAGCTAACACATCTCAGTCCCCGGTATTGGTCACAGGATCAAGTCGCGTAACAACCCCGATCTCCGTGTCGAGCTCGTCAAGGAGTACGTCAAGAAGAACTTCCCCAGCACCAAGCTGCTCGACTACGCGCTGGCTGTCGAGTCGGTCACAACATCTAAGAAGGACAACTTGATTCTCAACGTTGACGGTTGCATCGCTGTCTGCTTCGTCGATCTTGTACGCAACGGTGGTGCCTTCACCCAAGAGGAGGCCGAGGACTACCTGAAGATGGGTGTCCTCAACGGTCTCTTCGTCCTTGGCCGAAGTATCGGTCTGATTGCCCATTTCCTTGACCAGAAGAGGCTGCGTACTGGTCTCTACAGGCATCCCTGGGACGACATCACTTACCTCCTGCCTTCACTGCAGGCTGGTGGTGCGCCGGGTGCTGAGGGCCGTGTTGAGGTCAGCTTGTAGAGTCATGTTTGGAAAAGGCAAGGGTATATCCGGTTCTAGTCGCTTGATGGCGGACCCAAACTGGCGTTTTGAGCGTGGTAGACGAAGGCCTCCCACAGCATCCTAGGGCCACTGTAGCAATACCCGCCCGCTGTTGGCGGACATATATTATTTAATGTCAAACGAACAAGCAATTCATTTTCCGCGTGCAATATCTCATAGATTCAAGTTGATACGGATGCGTCGGCAGCGACTTTTTCCAGCCCGTGGGCGGTCTAACGTAGTGTGGTGATCTATCTTTAGCGTCATCTACGGCGGTTGTTTGAACAAGCAAAATAGCGTTCCTCGGCTCGCTTCGATTTTCATTCAACATCTAACTTGAAAGAATGAGCTCTGGAACATTAGGTCGCCCGGAGTAGGTGAGAATTAAATCCACTCGTACGAAAGACAACCTGGATGTAGGTAGCCGTCTCTTATTCTTCCATTGACCCACCGAAACAACACGGAAGAATCCCATGCTCTACACTGTACCTGAACGTGCCGTGTCCCGCTCACCGGTTTCCCGGTGACGACCACGAGAAGCGTTAGCAAAAGCCATGGGCTAACTGCACATGGTATAGCGGCCAACACATTCGTGCGAAAGGACAAAGTCACGATAGGGCCTGGGCTCCCGCTGTCAGCTCCCAGCCACCTCGTCGATTTTGGCATCATTCGATGCGCCAAAACTTCTTGTCTTGGTATCCACCATGGTGTGGTTGAATCCGGCTGTTACGGATGCCGTACAATTAAGGAATTACAACATCTTGGTTCACGCATCGATGATCCAGTGATGATGTATTCCCACGGATGTGTGTCCGCTCGCAATCTTTGGCTCAAGGCGAACATCGACATGCTATAGCTGTTGAGTAAGGCTTCGGTTTCTGTAATGCCCCTCTCATACATGCAGCGGCGCGTATTGAATCGTGAGTTTGTCCGCGCCACTTTCTCGTCAGGCGTTCAGCCGCTATCGCTATTGGGGGCCACGGACTGCTCGCTTCTTCGTACTGGCGGGTAAGGTGCCTTGCTGCTGCCTTGAAATAAGCATGGGTTTCTAGTTGCATGCAAGCTGCCGCAGGGAATAAGTACAGATGTGATCCCAGGATCCAGTGGGTTCAGCCTTATCGTTGGTATTCTATCTCACCAGCAAGCAACATCGTCACCGTCTCGGTGTTGAGGTACCACACCAACAACCTTTTGCAATGTTCACGCGCACCATCGTCGCCGCAGCAGCTTCTGCCTGCCTTGCTGCTGCTCAGAGTTCGGACTCGGAACATACACACGCTGCTTTCGCTTTTGTTCGAACGGGAGAGAGAACACCTATTCTACGCAATGATACCCAGATCCTCACCACTGTCGGCGCAACCCAAATGCATGCGCTAGGGCAGAAGCTCAGATCAAAATATGTCACTGGTGCAGGATCCATCGCGGGTGTGTCAAAGGACGTTCTGGACAACGATCAGATTTGGGTTCAAACGTTGGATACGCCGTACCTCGTATCGTCTGCCCAAGCGTTCATGCAGGGGCTCTACCCACCACAGGAAGCTAGCAATGCAACGGAAGTGCTCGCAGATGGCACTTCTGTCGACTACCCGCTCAATGGATATCAGTATGCTAGCGTTCACGCTGCCAGCCCCAACGACCCGTACTCGAGACTCGTATCTGGAACATTATCTTGCCCTCAAGGACAGGCAGACGGACTGAAGTATTTCACTACTCCAGAGTTCAAGGCGGCGAAGGGAGCCAACGAAGATCTATACAAGAAGCTGAAAGTGGATTGGTTTGAAGGCTTCGCCGAGCAAGATGACTTGTCTTACACCTTCGCACTTGAACTCGCAGATTACCTGTCATACCAATACGCGCACAACTCTAGCATCTACAAAGCCTTGGCAAACGACTCCGACTATGCAGGTGTATATGACAAACTGCGATACAATGCCGACGAAGTAGCCTGGTATCTCTACGGAAACACTTCCGCATCTACTGCAGACTCCGACGACCGAGCTATCGGTGGCAAAACACTCGCAGGCTCAATCCTTCACTCATTCAACCAACTCCTCCCAGAAAAGACAGACAGCGAGAATTTGATTAACAACGCTGGGCAGACCAACAAGCCCAGCCCGCTTACCTTCTTCTTTGGCGAACAGGACGCCATGGTGAGCCTCATGTCACTCATGATGCTCGACTCCCAATCACCCGGCTTCAAATCCATTCCCCCTTACGGCTCAGCCATGATCTTTGAGCTTTTCAGTACAGGCGATAGCGCGGAGATGCCCAGTGATCCCAACGACCTCTGGGTACGCTTCTATTTCCACAATGGAACAGACTCTGACAACGAGCCACTCCGGTCATACTCCATGTTCAACAGCGGGAGGTCGATGACAGACATGCCGTATGGGGAATTCTACACTATACTGAGCACTATCGGCATGCAAGGATTGAGTGACTGGTGCAAAAGCTGCAGCAGTCCAAGTCTTTTCTGTATCGGCGCCGATGGAAGCGGTGTAACGCTTGTAGTTCCCACACCACAAGAACGACCGAAGAAGGATGCCATTTCCCCTGTCGTTGGAGGCGTCATCGGCGCGGTTGTTTCTCTCGTCGTAGCCGGTCTATTCTTCGCACTCGCCATGTTACTCGCTGGCATCCGCTTCCATCGGGTCGAACAACGTCTTGGTCACAGTCCGAAATCAGAGTTCGGTGGCTTCAAAGGATCTGCAAAGTTGGAATCAGATCCTGATGTTAGTCTGTCGAGAAACGCGGTACCGCCAGCTACTGCTACATCAGGTATCGTTAGCTTTGGTGGAGACCATAAGAGGGGGCATGAAAGGGTTGGGAGTTGGGAACTCAGGCAGAAGGAGTTTGGTAAGGATATTGGGGAGGCGAGTCCGAGGAGCAGTTTCGAGGCGATTGATGCTGTTGCCACGAGAGGGGTTGAGTCGCATGACCGTGTGTAAGTTGCGCACCTTCTTGAGCAGGAAAGATGGGCAGATTTGAGTGGTAAATTTTTGTTTTTTCTGTTACGCTCTTTATGACACGACGATGGAATGTATATCCAGAGGAGAAGAGAGGAAGGGACCCGTCGGCCTTCACTTTGTACGATCTTGATACCCGGTTTTCCTCTATGGATGCCATTGAAAGTTATGCTTTACTATAACGACGACACTCGCTTTACGAATCAAGAAATTCAAGCATTTTTGAAGTTCTCATCTCTTTCTCCCATTCACTTACATATCATGATATGTTGTCTCTTGTCTTGCCTATCATACCCAAGTCTCACTCCACATATGTCTACATAGTTCCTCCAACTATCCATATATCCATTGATCAAACCAAGCCAAAGCGAGAACGCATAGTCCAAGGGTTAAGACGCCCACTCCATGAACCCTCTACTAAGTAGTGCTTGCGCTGATTGGACCGAAAGGACCACGGGCAGGACGCAGTTGGCGAGAAGCCGCAGCGTGGTTAATGTGGGAGATGCTAGTTCGAGTCTAGCTGCGTTCAAGACATCTTCTTTTTTGCTTGAGCTTGGGGTGTGTGTGAAGAAGATGGGTTGTAGGCATTGCGAGAAGATATGAGCTGTTATACTTCCAATACACACATACTTGCTTTGGATGTATGTTGAGGGCGAACTCCAAATTGTCAGTTCATCACTATTGTCATTCACGTTGAACCGAACCCCTATTCGTCTTCATCTTATCATCTGGTCAACTCAGGCTCCTTTTTATTCTCAACGTGTCCTCTTTACAAGTTCGCAGGCGAGAGTGTTGAGTTATGACGTGCCGATATCAGAGTAGAGACGATGCAAGACGTGGTCTGTAAGCTTGACCGGGACGTTGATCTAATACGGAAAAGGATCAGAGGCAGTGTAACAATTTAGAATCGGAAAAATTTAAATAATCTCATTGAAGGCATATACAAATGCAAGCAGACATAGGTATCGGCCGCATGCCATGCCTATTTAACTCCTTACGAACGCCATGTAAAGGCAAAAAGCCACAAAAGTAAGGCTGTGCCAAAGCACATATCGTATTTTCGTCTCATTAACGTAAACATCGACCATATTATCGACAAAGAAACGAAGCCCCGAATACATCTCTTGCTCATCTCAAAAGCTGTCCTGCGATGCCGACAGCAACACCTGCTGTCATGAGGTAATCGGCACAGCGGGCTCTCATGCCTGCGTTTCCTTGACCGTCAAAAGCCGCACAAGCCTCGACAGTAAGCTGCGAACATCCCAGACTGCTCAAGCTCGAGCAGATGCTCTGAGCAGACTGGAGGCCCACACTCGGAATTGCGGTAATGGTGGCACCGGCGCCGTTGGGTGCCGATATAGTGACGCCAGCCGCGCCGTTGGCTAGAGCAGTCGTACAGCTTGCAGCATCACTTTGGCAGCTTGTATAAGCGGACGAGCAGGCAGCTGCGTTGGAGTAAGTCGTCGGTATGTACGGAAAAGGGTAGAATTGGTTCTGTACCGTGCTTCCGTGGTTTGCGCCATTTGTTTCCTGCACGAAGGGGCTGTCGCCTGTTGTGGATGCGATTACGAAGGAGACGGTGGATGTGGCCGAGGGATTTGCGCCCGTGGCAATGGCGCCAATTGCTCCTGTGCATGCTGCGCCCTGGGGGCAGCATGCTACATGTCCGGCCTGGTCGGCTGAGCACACGGCTGTTCGTGGGCAGCAGAGTCCCGGGGCGCCGAGACCAGCACAGTTGAAGTATTGGGTTGCGCATGCATTGTTGTTTTGTCGCTTGAGGACTTCGGCGCCGCTGCCTGCGGGAGATGTCTCCATGGCCTCGTATACGGGGTTCTCTAATGGCGCAACGGCTGGTTCGAAGTCGGCGAAGACATCTGGTGCGGCGAGCGCTGCAAGCGGCGCAAGCAGGAGCGGAGCGAGGAATGTGCGCATTTTCCGAATAGGGACGTCTTGGTCGGTCGTGAACGAGAGTACGCGGCTTGCGCCTGAGAGTTGTGAGGTTGTTCGGGGCCGGGTTGATTGTTGGGACGGCTATCGATATAGGGGACCTCGGGAGGCTGGTGGCTATGGGTGTGTGAGTATGGGACCGATGTGCGCCAATTGCCAACTCACGCTTAATAGACACAAGACGCAATCGATGGTTCGGTGCTATGGGCTGTCAAGTGTCGAGGTGTCGTGGGCATGAAAGTCGGTGCGGCTGTGCTATGCTGCCAAGCCAGCTGCGTTGTAACGGCAACGCGGTCTAACCGTCCAATCGGACTGTAATACGTCATGCATGTTGCACGTTCTCACTGAGGCCCGCGATGCGGGTATGCGGGCCCTGATGATCTTCTGCCTTTTGACTTTGGCCCTGCTTTGGACCTCACACCGCTTACCCAAGTTTCGACGTGTGTTTAATATCACCATCCCACCCATAACTCGGATGCTAAGCTGGCTAGATGCAATCACGTGAAACATTCACACACACCTTCAGTCGCCTAAGCGCCATGATGAAAGTACAAGAACGAAACATTACAACGACTGTTTGACAAGTTTAGCATCGCCTGAGCTATCGCTTTTTTGTGGTGAGAGGTGTCGTGGCTATATTCTAGTAGTCCAAAATGAGTCGAAATGAGCAACATCGCACTAGTGGAGGCATCTATGAATGGGCTGCACAAATAGAGAATTGTCGCTTCTGCGTTGAGATCGTTTACTGTCATGTTTTCGCTGCATCAGCAATTAACTCTTAGTTCAAACCATTCTCACATCACCCCATATCACCCCATCAGACGCCGAGGTCCAACCGCCATACAAACATGCCTGCTACGTGTGACCATTGCTCTGAACGCCAGGCAATCGCAAAGGGCATCAGTCATCATACCAGCTTCTGCATCGAATGATCTTGCAGCTGCTTCGTCTATTCGAGGACTTGTCTCCAAGTATGCACAATCGCAACTACGCCTGAAGAAGCCTACTACTGTCTTTGTCGGGGGTACTGGACAAGAAGTATTGACAGAGGCAGACTGGAAGACCAATGTCAAGAGCGATGTCATATTGCTCATCTCAGCGGGAGAAGAACATATTGGTGCTAACAAAGAACCAAACGGGCATGGTAAGTAACATAAAGTTTGAGCAAGTTTGCGCTTAATACTCGCACTTCCCACCTCGGTGTAACCATCAGTCACCGACCCCCTACCTAGATATAACAGCAGGCGTAAACCCATAATGTCCAGTTAAAGCTCTAGCTCTAGCCTCCAAAGCACCCGCCGATTCGCTCTCTGTGTCTCGGCTTACTACTACTGCCCATACACTTCCAGGTATCGTCCACGCTGTCGGCCAACCTGATCTCCACCTGGCACCAAGTTTCCCATTAGCACCGTCTTTGCTTCGAAGAGATGGATCCGTCATCCTCTGATCGGTGGCAACATTGGGTGCAGTATGGCTTGGTACAAGACTACGTTGTCTCGACGTAAGGCTGATGGAGACAAGGGCAAGAAAGTCGCCGAGAAGCTTCGAGGGCTAGAGGGAGTATGGCGGATCCAAGCGTACCGAGAAGCATGGCTACTGGACGAGTGAGAACACAGCCATTCTGCTGGTGAGCAATGGGATGCTGCATTGGGTACCATAGGAGCCGGGAACCACTTTGCCGAAGTCCAGGTTGTTGAAGCTTCATCACTTGCCAACATAGACAATAGTCTGCAACAAGACAACGTCGTTCTCCTAGTACACTCGGGCTCTCAGGGACTGGGAGGCAACATCCTTAAGAAGTGTATGACAGAGACGCGCACTAGCTTCGGAGAGGGTAGTGCAGATGCAATCGGATACATGGAAGAGCATAACCAGGCCTGTGAGTGTGCAAAAGCAAGTAGAGATCTAATCGCCTTGCAATTTCTTGCATGCCTTGAACCTGGCAATGAAGATTGGACTTTGGGCAGCTCGGGTGCTAGCGCATTGGACGAGAAGGCATCGAGATGATCGCAGTTGCCAAAACTGCACTGAAGAAATGCAGGATGATCGACATCTGGCACAACAACGTTGAGCGTATCGCATGGCCTCCATCAGAACTTTGGTCAGCTGGAAAATACGCCTCTAGTATCTACAATATTGTTCCTTGTGATTGTGTGTACATCCACAGGAAAGGCGCAGCACCAACGTACGATCCGAAGATTCAGTTACCGCTCAGCCTTCTTCCACTGCCCGGATCCAGAGGCACACCGACGCTCATTCTGCAGCCAACGTTCTCAACCTCCAACGCATGGGGTCTGAAGAACGGACTTTCGCTTGCCCACGGTGCAGGATGCGCCATGTCTCGGGCAAAGGCACTGTCGGCATCGGCACAGAAGTACAAAGGCCAAAACATCCTGGAGCCACGGTTGGCAGACTTGCAAGGCACGTGGGTCATCTGTGACGAAAAAGGCCTTGTTTTTGAAGAAGCTCCAGACGCATACAAAGACGTTCAGGCTGTTAGTCAAGATCTAGTCGATGCCGATGCAGCGCAAGTTGTCGGCTGGTGTCGATCTAGGATCAGCTACAAGGTCAGAAATGAGACATGTTGAGGCAATGTTTTATCGGTAGAGGTGGATCTGCCGACACAGCAATAAACTGTGCAAACGTCTCACGGATCGACTTCCACAGGACAGATGCTGACCCGTAGGGAAGCGGCGCGGCAGAAGAGACGGCTCCTGAAAGTCTTGTGCAATGTGCGCGCGGGGTCAAGATGGAGCTGTAATCTCCATGCTTCCATATAACTCTGCCTCAGTTAGATGCGCAACCCTGTCTTTTCTCGATTCACCCGCTTCTGTCAATTTCCTCTGATTCCCGCTCCCCATCCGTCATTTCTTCTCACACCCGTCTTTGCCGTGTCATACAGTCTTGTCAATCGGGGCTCGTGGAAACCGTGCCTCAGAATGCCTCAGTAAAACACAGAATAAATCTTCTGCTACACCCGCCTCAGGAACGCATGTTTGGTCTATTTGCGTCAAGTAAGCGCGACGGCGAGAGTTTTGTGTGGAATGTTTGTTTCCTTAGGGCGCGGCTACCGGAAAAGGTGCAACATGCAAGCGCCATGTCATTGTATGGGGTAAATTTGGATCTGTACCAAGGCTGTTAGACCCGACTAGCGCTGCAGTAGTCAAAGCTTGGTACGTTGGCGGCAAAAGCAACATCTGCGACATTCGAGACCCTTGCCTCAGAACATGTGCATCAACAAGCGACTATACGACAGAAACACTTGAACTGCCTGCAGCTTCGGTTGGCCTGGAAGTATGACTCTGAAATTCCGACCTCGTCGACGCACTGCACCTCGGCGTTGGCGCATACCGAAAACTGAGTTGGCTGGGGCCAAGTCTTACAAACTCCACACCAGGGCTCAGCCCTGGCCTCAGGAACAAGGCCCGCCCCCACAATGATTGGCCGGCAAAGCGCCCATGCGTCTTGGTGTTTCGAAACGGCGAAGCGGGCGTGCGTCCTCTAGTGCATTTACGGCAAACAACACATGGTTTCAAGCAATAACGCACACTGCCTCTGTTCCCAGCGGCCAATCAGCCGGGCATGAATCGGCTGAAGAGGGTTTGTAGTGGGTTACAATGGAAGTGACGGCGCGCAGGGTGGATCTTCTTCTGGTAGTCGTCTTCGGGAAGGCGCGTTGATGAATTTGTGACGGCTTTCGATGTGTGACGCCCCAACCACCGGTGCCTGACTGCGCCTCTACCCAGCAGGCAGGAAAATTATATAGTGTTTGCCAGCCGCCGCATGTCCTGAGGAATCATCCCTTTGCAAGCTATCCCTTCACTGGTTTTTCCTACCGTTCATCGTTTGCATACAACAGTTCTCTCTCCACTTTGCTTGTCAGCATTCGCTATAATATTCGGTATGTAGTCCCTCGACCCGTTTGCGCTTTCTTTCCCATCACTGCCCGTGCAACCGTGTTTGCATCTGGAAGTTTCCGTTCGTTTGCCTTTGTCACAAGGTTCACATCGCGCTTTCCCCTCTTCCACCTCAATTGCGCCGCTCCTCATATAAACACACTTGGCACGCCCACTTCATCTCTGCAAAACACTCACTTCTCTACTTTACTTGTCCACCCCGCTCTCACACCGTCACTCGCTAAACAATCCTCACAGTCGAATCTCAACCCCATTCTTTACACAAGGACAACCTCCATAATCAAAATGCTTGTCTCAGTCATCTCCGTCTTGGCCGCGGCCTCCGCTGTCGCCGCTCAGTCCTCGACTGTCATTCCCGCTCCCGTAGTGACCGGTAACCCTATCGGCGCCAAGTACGTTGGTACTCTTCCTCCCAAGGAGGGCAGCACCCTCACTGGTTCTATCGAGGCCACTACTGGCGCCGATGGCAAGGGCGTCAAGTTCTCCGTTTCGTTCGCTGGCCTCCCCGAGACTGGCGGTCCCTTCATGTACCACCTTCACGCCAAGCCGGTTCCCGCTGATGGAAACTGCACTGGCACTGGCGCTCACTTGGACCCGTACATGCGCGGCGAGGTTCCCGGTTGCGATGCCAGCAAGCCCGAGACATGCCAAACTGGTGACTTGAGCGGAAAGTACGGAAATGCTACTGAGCAGACTTTCTCGGCCGAGTACACTGACTTGTACTCTGCTACTCTGCCTTCAGACCCTGCCTTCGTACGTCTTGATCATACAATGTAACAGAAGAGCAACATGCTAATATATCCCAGTTTGGCGCCTTGTCCTTCGTCGTTCATCTCAGCAACAAGACTCGTATCGGCTGTGCCAACTTCACCATGATCGACGCTGGTACTAATGGCTACGGCGCTCCCCCGGCGTCTTCCTATGCGCCCGAATCTTCAGGCTACGGCGCCGCTCCTTCATCCACAGGCTACGGCGCCGCTCCTTCATCCGCAGGCTACGCCGCTTCTTCATCCACAGGCTACGCCGCTCCCCCACTGTCTACTGGCTACCCTATGATGCCCCCCACCAACACCTCTTCTGGCTTCGCTCAGTCCTCAGGCATGCCCCTCTACAACGCCACCACTATCGCTGCCTCACCAACTGCTGGTCTGCCCATCACTCCCAGCGCAGCATCCTCATCAGCCCCAGCTGAGTTCACCGCCGGCGCCGCTAAGATTGCCGGTGGCGCTGGTGCTCTGCTCGCCGCAGCTGCCGCCGCACTTGTCTTGTAGATGAGCAATGTTGATGCTTAGACGGGAAAGAAAGCTGGACAGCAGGTGCATTATGGCGTTTTCTTTTGTTTTTTTTCATGATTGTCATTTGATACCAGGTGGGTCGCAAGACCGACTCATCGCTTTCTTCGTCAGAGACACGGGAGGGTTAATATTTGGGAACCTTTCGCATGTGTATAGGGTCATATTCACGGGGTCGCTTCTTCGATAATGTAGTTTGATAATGGTATAGATGTGGAAATGTCACAGTTTTGCAAGATTCTTTCTGCTTGCCTTGTTACCTTTGACAAGTCTTCAGGTATAGTGCATCTAGGTACACACACTCCAGCTGTTTGACTTGCTACACAAAGCGACGAGCGGATACTGGCCCGTACAACATCACCTGTCATGATCAGAGTGATAGTTGATGAGGTTGGTGGACTTTTCAGTCGCAGCCGAATGCCATTATACTCATATTGATGAGGGTATCTTTCCCAGCTCAAGTGCCTTAGCTACCTATAGCTGTATACGTAATAAAATGAAGAAATATATCGTTTTCTGGGCAACGATCCTTTGCTCCACATCCTACTCCTGCCCGAAGCGGTGGCGGAATGTATGCGCGACTGGAAGTAACAAATAGTTAGGCTTTGGCTTTGGCCGCCGTCGCTGGAGCCTCATCGTCACTGTCTGGTGTATCGGAACGGCCAGACTTCTTGAACTTGGGCTTGTCTTCTGCGAGCGAAAGTTGGAGACCACGGTGGTTATATCTCCTGCCCTGGAAGCCGGCAACGAAATTCTCAGCAGGCTCGAACTCGCGGAAGCGGACTGTGACGACGCCCTCGGGCTCCCTGTCGTATAGAGTGCAGTTGGTGACCTCACCGTACTGCTCCGCTGCCTCGCGCATGTCCTCCTTGATCTCCAGATATGCGCCCGCGTCCTCTTCGAGCTGCTCCAAATCAAAGATGTTCCTGATGATGACGACTTTAGCCCATTTGTTCTTTTTGGGCGCCAAGGTCTCGGCGACGTAATCTTCGTTGTCGGACCACTCGTTGAGCTTCCTGTGGATTTGTCAGTGACGATACAGAAGTCTGCAGACTTGCGAACTTACTGGTTTAGCTCAGCGCGATTGCGCTCAGACGCTTTCCTATCCTTGCGCGTAAGCTTGGATGCGATCTTCTCGCCGTCTCTCTCTTTCTTGTGCTCAATCTTAGCTGCCTCGACGTGGATGTTGCCGTTGGAGTTATCGCCTGGGCGGAGAGGGAAGTCGTCCATCAGCCTGATCGCATTGGCAATAGCCTCTTTCTTGAAGTATACAACCATGGCAGTACCATTGAAGACGCCGTCGGTTTCGTACATGTAGATGCGCGGCTCGCCGTTGGCGCCCTTGTCAATGATGCCGTACCTCGAGCACTCGTCCTCGAGCTCCTTCTTCGTGGTATCAAGAGGCAGGTTGGAGATCCAAATAGCCTTGTTCTCCATAACCTTGGGCTTCTTGTTGGCCTCGGGCTCCTTCACGTTCTTGCGCTTCTTGGTGTTTTCGGTCGCGGAGGGATCTGTAGCAGATGGAGTGTCCGAAGCAGACGGACGGCCCCCTGCCTGGTCCATGAAGTCGTCGAGCTCGCCCATTGTATACTAGAGGATCGCTACCGGAAGCTTTGCAAGCGCCAGGGTGGAGTTTTTCGGCCTCGTCAAGACGTACAGAGACGGGTGTAGACGTCGGCGTATCGTGTGATGTATGCTTGTTGACGTGAAGCTTGAGATGTCGGCGGCAGAAAAGTTGGGCGGTGAGGTGTGCTGCGGGACAAATGCAGAAGGCGCTACGGCGGCGATGATGTTCCGGTGCCGGTGCCAGCGACAACAAGGGCGGTTGCCTGGAGAGCGTTCAGGGCTCTGCGAGTGATGACAGGCGCTGTTGCTGTTGAAGACGCCATGTTTCGTTAGTCTTTCTGAAGGGCAAGCCCTCTAATGCCGCCATGCTCTTTCGGAGGGCGCGGATGAACCTACACAGCGCTGGGCGAGATGTATAGGGCCTCTGTGTCGAGAGAAGTGTCGTTACGGCCGTTGTGGCAGATTGAGCGTCGTGATGGAGGAGACGGATGACGATGGCGGAGGATCGATAGAGGCGCGGAGTGGTGCATGCAGGACGCCGGCAAATTCCCGCCTAGCGCGTTCAGGGTAGCTGCTCAAGCTTCGATGTTCAGGTCCGTCAGCCCCGCATGTGACGACTCAGGGATCAAGCAAAACGCCCATCCGAAGCATGCAGTGTAGGACACACGAGACACTCCCTACACAAGAGGAAACTTTCTCGGTCAGATCACTGCGCCCCACAGATGAGTATATATAGGCGGAGAATGTAGCCCTGCGACTCCAGTAATCCTCTCCATCCTTACTCTTGCTACTGCGGCGCATAGCGAAACTGATACCATGTCTCTAGTCGACATCTTAACCAGACCCAATATGCGGGATCCTATTCCTCCACCTTCACTGCTCGTGCAGGCTAGCAAGTCATTCGCCGACAAGCTGAGCCTGACAACACTTCCGTACCATGTCCACGAGATCCTCCTCGGCTTCTTGGGTTACCATTTCATCCTCCATGTCCTTTCCCCGACCATTTCGCAGCTTGTCTGTCCCAAGGTATACAATGGCTTCAACAAGCGCACGCGACTCAACTGGGACATCCACTGGGTCTCCATGATCCAGGCTGTCTTCATATGCGCCGCTGCGCTGTGGGTCATTTTCAAGGATGAACAGAGACACGAGATGGACTGGAGGGGTAGACTCTGGGGTTATACGCCAGCTAGCGGCATGGTTCAGGGATTCGCTGCTGGATACTTCCTGTGGGACCTTCAGATCTCTGCCCAGTACATCCACATTGCTGGAGTAAGCTCGTTGATCCACGCCATCGGCGCTTTGGCAGTCACCTGTATTGGTTTCGTAAGTTGTGCGCTTACAAATGTGTCACACATGCTGACTACCTTCCAGAAACCCTTCGGAAACTACTACGGTCTCTCCTTCGTCCTCTACGAACTCTCTACTCCTTTCCTCAACATCCACTGGTTTTGCGACAAGCTCAACATGACAGGCTCAAAGCTCCAGCTCTACAACGGCATCGCTCTGCTTGTCATGTTCTTCTGCTGTCGCATCGTGTGGGGATCGTATCAATCTATCATGATCTACTCGGACATCTACAAGGCGCTCACAATGCCTAAATCAGAGCTTATGAGCTCTCTGCTCGAGGCCCAGAAGAGCGACGGAGCCGCAAACAGCAGTATGGGTCTCGAGGGGCCTGGAGGTCTGGCCGTAGGCGAGCTACCCATGTGGCTGGTTTGCGTTTACTTGGTTGGTAACACAGCTTTGAGTATGCTCAACTTTTACTGGTTTTCGCAGATGATAAAGGCTGTTCAAAAGAGATTCGTGCCTGCGGACGAAAAGAAGGTAAAGAAGAGCCAGTAAGCTCTTGTGTTGCCAAGGAATGAGATACGAGTTCAGGATATGCGAATGTTTTTGGTGGGCACTACCTAATGTTGCTGATTGACGGAACGGACGGCTACAAAGTGATGATACCCAGCGTCCTTGATAATTGTTGTGTTTATTAAAGTCGATAATACTGAATATCAACCATGTACTGTAACGTAGCGCCCAGTGACCTTTGTGACCTGAATGAATCGAATAGGGCCCAAATCCGCAGAAAACAACAGCTTGACCCGTCCCTCTCATAACTTCGCACTCGTACCACTCATCTTCTCTACCTCCTCTCTTAGAACCCTCCGCATTTCGCCTGCCATCTTGGCGCCCTCTTCGTCATCCAAATCATCTCTTTGACCCCGCCCAAACATTGTCCAGCTCTTGTTTTTGATCTCTGGCATTGTCTCTGGACGCGGTATGATGTGGAAATGCACATGTGGTACCACTTGTGCGGCACGCGCTCCTACGACCGTGTTAGACGATGAAGAGACGGCCAATGTGTAACGTAGTCCCAGTACGTGTATCTCCGGAAGGAATGTAAAAGCGAGACAGAGGTGGAAAGCGACTTACCGTTATTCTGCACAATGTTGTAATCTGTTACACCTGTAACCTTGGCCACTGTCCTTGCTAACACTGGTAGCCAGAAGCCTAGTCACTCAATGAGTATACTGATCTTGTCACATAGTAATGCCCATTAGGCAACTTACCAATCTCTCTACTCTCCACGGGTTCCATGTCTGCAACTTTGACTTTGTGCTGTCGAGTAGTGACTAGTAGATGTCCTGGTACATGTCAGCTATTGTCCGCCAACTCATAAAATCCTCAAATCTCTATGTTTCCATCACATATAGTTTCCATGCGAAGAGTATAACGACATGAACATGAAACTTACCGCCAGTCATGGGTAAGATGTCAAGAAAAGCAACAACATCCTTGCTCCTCAGGACAACAAAACTACTCGGATTGGTCTTCTCCGGGTCGCTTTCGTCGTCTTTAGGTACACAGTCTAGGTAGGACTCGTGGCTTTTACTTCTACTTGTCCATAGTGTAGGACTATTTGACGAAGAGGGAGCTGAAAATGGAAAAGCGGCTGCAATGTTGCAAAACGGACAAGTTTCGGGTGGATAGTGGAGGTCCGTTTCTTGCATGATTGGTCGTTGACGGCGATGTTGCTGTTATTCGATGATGATTGCTGTGATGTATGTAAACACGCAGGTGTGACACAGATGCCCGGGTGCGTGTGCGTCCGATGAGTACTGAGTCGCGAACCACGATACTCCTGCTCAATCTAATTCGGCTTGGAGAATGAGATGAAAACTGCGATCAAGGTTTCCCCGTATTGATGATTGATCGACAGCCGGAGCTGTGGTCGCTGTGCATTCAGCACTTGATTCGAGCTCCGAATCCAAGTTAGCGTCGATACTGACGTGAGGAGCCGAGGTACGTTGATCGCAAGGAACGCGACATGCGGCTAAGCACGTCGCACATCGGCATCGCGATCGTGAAGCGAGAGCGTGGCGTGTTGGCGACAGGACGCGCACGCGAAAACCAGGAAAGGTGGCGTTTTTTTGAAAGACACGGTGGTGACGTATCGTGTGGTTTTCGGGATCCAGACGCGCACGCGATGCGTCTCGTGTCTGGTGTGGGCCTGACGCGAGATGGCTGGGAGGATGGCTAGCTATGCCATCATCGTGTATAGTCACGTCAGGCCAAAGGGATTCGCTCATTGATGTTTGGTTGAAGTTCTGGATGACATTTATGGAATTTCTGCTTCATTTGACGCGAAACAGTGCGCTTTCAGACTACTCATACACTGAGAGCTATCTCACATCTGCTACCCCAATGACCATATTCCCACGCGACACCACATGCAGATCCACAAAGGAATAGCCTCTCCCATATCACACCATTCATGGTATATCGATCGCTAATGCTATGAGCGAGTATCCAGAGCCGCTACAAGGAGAAATGAAGTTAAGAGTGATGTGAAAAAGCAAGCACCCTTGATTTGCGCCTCCGTGCATGGGGGATGAACGCCTGCGACTCCATGTTCCAAAACAAGACAAGAAACCATAAAAGAAGTGTGCAACCAACTTGCATCCCATGTATTAACGCCGACCGGAAGATGGTATTAGCCAAGATGTAAACATGAAGGGTTGGCTTGGATGCAATCGTAAATTTTTGCTCCCGGTCGGAACCGAACTTCGTCAACCGCTGCTATTGAAGCATGGCGGTAATGAACAGCTTTGCGACTCCTAAGCCAAAGACCGGGAGTGCCTAAAGAACACCAACGTCTTAGCGCTGGCTCTTGGTCTTGGAAGGAACAACGGCAGCCTCTTCTTCTTCTTCTTGAAGCGGGTTACCGTAAGCCGCAACGTAGTCCTTAGCCCACTTGCGAAGAACAATTGATGCTGGTGGATGTTAGTTGGGTTTCCAGAGAACAGAGTGTGGTGTGACATACCCTTCAAGAACTTCTTGCTAGCATACTTCTTAAAGAAAGCCTCGTGCACGACGGGTCCAGAGAGGTAGTCGATCATGAGCTGCAGGACAGGCTGGATCTCCTCCTCAGAGTAGCCGGCGTAGTGTGTGAGGGTGTTATCCTGTGGATGTTAGTGGGAGATTGCAGTATAGAAGGTATGATCACTTACCCAAGGGCCACGCTCGAGGACGAGACGAGCAAGGTACATAGCAGCGGCAGCAACCTGGCTTGGGGGGTGGGCGAGGAAACGATGGTCCAGGCAGCCAATCTCGAGGAGGTACTTGCCCAGTGTGCGGGTCTGGATGTCGTAGTTGTCGGCCTTTGATATCCGGCGAAGGAAGTTCATGGGGTTCGGGTAGCTCAAGTCGTAGTTGAGAGCAGCAAGGACAAAGCGCTCCGCGCTCAGAATTTCCTCTTCGGTGAAGCCATCGTCGGCGACATGGCGGAAGTTCTGAACGTGGGGCGAGAGGACCTCTTCGTACTTGGAGGCAATGAACATGGCGGTGACACCAACCAACTGGAGACGGTCCAGCTGGACGATCTTGGCGGAGAGGAAGCGGTCGATGATGTTGACAGCGAGGAAGAGGGTCTCGGGAAGTAGGCGGAAACGGGTGTGAACTTCGAGTAACCAGTCGACGAGAATACCTCGCATCTTCCACTCCAGCTCAGTCTGGCTTTCCAT